TAATGCAAGTCAGTAGTTCTCAGGTTGTGCGCAGATTGTGTAAGGCTTCCCAAGGAGAACTGAGCATGAACATACAACAAAAGAGAAGCAGGCAAATAGGCAAGTAGTCTCCTTCTGTGCTGTGGATGGTTTCATTTGATAGATTCCGTTTATAATTTGAAACAGTCACTGTTGTGGTTCAGTTTTAAAATGGAAGAAGTTTCTTTCAAGTTGGAATGAATCAAATTCTGTTAGTTTCCACTTGACATCCTACTATGGATGGGAAAGAGTTAAAGAGTACTGACTATTAAACAGGAAGTTAGCTGAGGACTGGCATAAGGAAGTAAAGCTGCAACACTTTTTGCAGCCTGATTTATCCACATAACGAGCTGTGGATCCAAAGAGAGAACTGAGGCAAAGATGCTAATAGTGGGTGAGAGAAAATTAAAAATATACCGTGTTATAATCTGTCTAATAGTTTTGTTGTCATTTTATGTCTGTGTGCTCCTAATCCCCTGGACCTTTCTGATGCTTTAGTCCCTTCACTATTTGAATCTCTATCTGCTCTGCTGCCCACAGTGAATTTCTTAGAATCATAGAGTTATACAGTCCAGAAATAGACCCTTTGGTCCAACCAGTCCATGCCGACCATAATCTATAACTAAACTAGTCCCACCTGCCAGCTCTCAGCTTTATTCCTCCAAACATTTCTTATTCATATACTTGTCTAAATGTCTTTTAAAAGTTGTAACTATGCCCACATCCACCAATTCCTCTAGAAGCTCATTCCACACACAAAACACTCTGTGTAAAAAAAATTGCCCCCTATGCCTTTTTTAAAATCTTTCTCCTTGCACCTGAAAAATATGTCCGCTAGTCTTGAAATCCCCACCTGAGGGAAAAGACTCCTACAATTCACCTTATCTGTACCCCTCATGATTTTATAAACCTCTATAAGGTCACCCCTCAACCTCCTACGTTCCAGTGGAAAAGAGTCCCAGCCTATCCAGCCTCTCCCCATAATTTAAACCTTCCATTCCTGTCAACACCCTAGCAAATCTTTTCTTAACTCTCCCCAGTGTAATAATATCCTTCCTGTAGAAGGGCAACCAGAACTGGACACAGTATTCCAGAAGAGACTTCACCAACATCCTGTATAGCCTTAACATGACGTCCCAACTGCTATACTCAAAGGTCTGATCAATGAAGGCAAGCATGCCAAATGCGTTCTTAATGCCCTGTCTACATGTGATTTTTTTATCAAAGAATTATGTGCCTCAACCCCTAGGTCTCTCTGTTCTATGACACTACCCACGGCCCTACTTTTAATTGGAAAAGTCCTGGCCGTGTTTGTTTTACCAAAATGCAATATCTCGCATTTATCTGAATTTCATTAACTCAAACCTAGCCATTCTTTCATATCTAACTGTTTGTTAAATATCTTGAGAGGTTCATCAACTATCTCTCAGCTTTCACCAAATTGAGCACTTCGATGTTTGATACAATTCCAAGTGGCTTGGAGTCATACAGGCGTGTCTCAAAACTTCTTGCACTTAAATCCTGAGTGAAATAATGTTTTATTCAAATTGCTATGTATCTGCACATTCAATCTAAATAACAAGTCCCTCAGTCCTCAGGCAAACAATCAATCCTCATTCAGTCATAATAATTGCACTCAAATTTAACCAGGATTTATCCATTTCAGAGTCTAAATGTTTTTTCCTGTGCAACAAAATGATCCCATAGCCTGCTCTCAGTGTACATTGTAGGTAGCCTTGTTGCATAAGATAGAACTGATGAACTTAACTGACAACAGAGGAAAAGCAACACCCATGAAGGTATAAAGGACTGGGACGCATTAAGCAGTGTTTTACAAGGTCTCTAGTGTCTTAATCAGTTCCTGAGATGTTGATCTTTGTGTTTACTGCATGTAACTAAAGTTGTCATTTGCACTTATTCTTAAGGGGATCCTGATGTCTTGCAAAAAAGAGAATTGTGTATCTTAGATGTCACTCAACTAGTTATTAAGTAACATGGAATAAACTTATCCATTGCTCAAGAAAATGCCGTACTTAACTGCCTAAGATGATGGGCATCTGTCCGCATGGTATCAGTAACTCAATTAATACCATTAAGAAAGGTTGATGGTAGTGATCTACCTGAGATATCCCAGATCTTATCTGACATTACAATTGTCTAGACCACAGATTGTGCCGGCTGCTTTACAAAGTTGCCATAGTCCCAGAGTACCACAGGGCTGCTCTCTCATTAGAGAGAGATCATTGGTGGTGAGTTTAATCTGAGGGTTACCAGGCCACACGCAAGAGGAAAGATAGAGAAGGCAGAATCTTCATGATAACCTCAGCCGGTGTGGGAATTGAACTCATGCTGTTGATCAACTAAGCTAACCAACCCACGGCTGCGTTATAACCACATTATTACCAGCAGGAGTGGCAAGAGTCAAATAGGGTCTCATCTGAGAACATACCTGAGTTTGCATTACACCTGAGGCTATCTAAAATACTGTCATAACACTGCGTTTGGTATAACTTTGTTCTGGTCTGAAACCATATTTCTAAAATGCCAGCACTCCGTTGGAAGATTTGGTCAGCTTTGAAACCTGGTCTAGAATCCCTCTTAATGTCAGAGAAATGTTCCTACTCTCCTCTCTCCTCATGACCATCTGAGCAGCAATGCTCAGAATCCTCTTGTTACTAATCTCAACGTGACTCGCTGATGCCAGGGTAGCTAGAATGAAGTGACTACACTTCACACTATGTCAATACATCAGTAATGCTGTGCAACACAGTCAATAAACAACAGTGTGACTGAGAGCAATAGTAGAAGCTTATATTCCCACTGATTGTAGATATTGCCTGACTGCAACACCACTTGTTTTGTTTGGAAGAAACCTCCAGGTATTTCTCAGCAGAACAAAGATATTTGAATATTTGGAGGTTGGTGGGAGGGCCCTGGAAGCAGAAGGACAGAATCACCAGTCCTTTGAATATTTAATTTGGGGCAAGGATTAAAAAGAGTCCAAGGATATTATTAAGCTGGAAAGGGTTCAGAAGAGATTTACCAGGATGTTACCGGAAGTGGAAGGTTTGAGTTATAAGGAGAGGCTGGACAGGCTGGGACTTCTTTCCAATGGAGTGTAGCAGGTTGAGGGGTGATCTTATAGAATCATGAGGGGCATAGATAAGGTGAATGGCAGGTGTCATCTCCCTAGGGTGGGGGATTTTGAAACAAGGTGGCATAGTTTTTAAGGTGCGAGGAGAAAGATTTAAAAAGACATGAGAGGCTTTTGTTTTTACACAGAGAGTGGTTTGTGTAGGAAATGAACTTCCAGAGGAAATGGTGATGTGAGTACAGTTACAATCTGTAAAAGATATTTGGATAAGTACCTGAATAAGAAATGTTTGGAGCAATATGGACCTAGCACAGGCAGGTGGGACTAGTTTAGTTTGGATGATGGTGGGAATGGACTGGTTGGACCGAAGGTTCTGTTTCCGAGCTGTATGACTCTACGGTCCAACAATCTCCTTGACTTTGCAATCTAGATTTAACACGCCAAAATGAAGCAGTGTGACTTCAGGGGCTTAAAGTCCATCTCACTCTGAGTTCCATACTCTCGATGTACTGGGTAGCGCCACTACAAAGTGAAAATGAGTGAACGTGCAGTCATAATGCGCCGTTGGTTTCTTTCGCAGTATCAATCGAACAGTTCCCCTGGAATTTGTAAATAATTTATGATTGAAGCTGTCATTCAGCAATGTTTAGGCATGAATGATACATTATGCAAGATACTTTCCACGCATTTGGGATCATTGACCTCTCCTGCAAGTGGATTTCACACTTGCTATGAAATAGATTGTGCCCGTGCATGTTGAATGTTTATGGACAAGTAGTGAGACTTGAAAGCACATGCTTTCATATCTGAGCTTATTTCAAAGCCACCTCAGAACCACCTTCTCTTTGTAAGACAGAGGAGAATACACCCCATCAGCTCAAGGCTCGCACCACAAGCCAAGGAGCATAATTATTTAAAATTGAACAATTAAATAATTGGCAATTAATTCAACCAGATATTTGTAAATGTAAACTTGGTTATGCTTTTTGTATTGTTAAGGCAAGAAAGATTAAAACCATAACAATGTTTCTTCTGAGTTACAGCATTAGCAGAGTTAATCCTTAAAAGTGGTAAAATGGTACCATTGAGATAGAAGTCACTGACTGCAAAAAAAAAGACAGCTTCTTACATCTCAATTTTCTGAATATACATTTGTCTTTAAACCCTGTGATTTTCTCAATACTATGTTAACAGCTATTTACAAGTTACCAATTATGAAGGATGCTTATCAGCCATCTAGAGACTATAATCTTTTAACTTTTAAACTATCATCCTTGTTTTCAGGATCCCTTGTGGCCTTGTCCTCTTCAACTCTGCAACCCTTTCCAATCCTCCAAGATTACAGGCAAACTGCGGCAGATTTTCCTCATTTACACTTGGGTGTCAAGTAGCTTCCATGAGGGCTATCCATGAAATCAGAATGGAGTGTGTCATGTACTCGCAACACCCAATTTTCAGAGATAGTAGGAACTGCAGATGCTGGAGAATCTGAGATAACAAGGTGTAGAGCTGGATGAACACAGCAGGACAAGCGGCATCAGAGGAGCAGGAAAGCTGACGTTTCAGGCCTAGACGCTTCGTTAGAAAATTTCTGAAGAAGGGTCTAGGTCCAAAACGTCAGCCTTCCTGCTCCTCTGATGCCGCTTGGCCTGCTGTGTTCATCCAGCTCTACACCTTGTTATCTCAGTACATGCAATTTTCAATTCAGTTACATCAAAGGATGTACGCAATAATGGCAGCATGCTTGGCAGATTGCTATCATATGAGAGGAATGTGCTGTTATCATTGCTAAGAAGAAGCTGGATAATTATATACTGAGCGGATGAGTTGTAGCTTTACTCTTTCGAGTATTTTTACAAATGTTCTCAAATTCATTTTATGTTTGCAGACTACTTCACAACAGGATCATCTGCAAATGGAGCAGCTAAGAATGAAGATGAAATAGGTATTGAATTATTGTTCTGTTTAACTTCTGGAAATACATTCTCTCACGCCTGATTCTGATAATCCCCATGACTGGGTTCAGTGTGACACCACTGTGTGACAATATTAGACAGCCATGTAAAATGTTCATGACTGTTGGTATCTGATCTCTTGACTACATTTGTCATTATTAGATTTACTCTCAAAGTTAGAACCCTTACAGTGTGGAAGCAGGCCATTTGGCCCATTGAGTCCATACTGACCCTCTGATGAAGGGCATCCCAGCCAGACCCAACCCCCTACCACATCCCTGCATTCCCCATGGCTAATCTACATCCCTGGACGCTATGGGCAATTTAGCACGGCCAACCTGCACAGCTTTGGACTGTGGGAGGAAACCAGAGCACCTGGAGGAGCTCACACAGACAATCACCCGAGGCTGGAATCAAACCCAGGTCCCTGGTGCTGTAAGGCAGCAGTGCTAACCACTGAGCCATCATGCCACCCCTTTTTCAAAGGGCATTCCAACCTGAACAACACCCCTACCTACTCTGTAACCTAGTCCAGAATGAAGAACGTGATTCATTGGGGAAGTTAGGGTTAATGCCGCTTAGATACTGGTCCAGGTGGTGGACCTGCCAATTGGCTACAGACGATGAGTCTCTCTGCTCTGTCAAAGATACACCTTCAGCTTGAATGTCTCATTCTGGTGAAGTGGTTCAATCCAAAATTTGGCCCCTTTTCCTTTCCCAGGCACTGATCAATTGGCTGTGAAGTTGCTGCATTTGGTGTCCATTTCCTTTTGAAGCATTTCTTTTTATTCTGCAATGTAACAATGTAGGTGTGCTGGTGGTGTAATAGTAATGTAATTAGACTAGTCATCCTTGATGACAGTTTTTTTGGAGATGTGTGTTCAAATCCCACCATGCCTGAAGGGGAAATTAATTCAATAAAAAAATCTGTAATTTTAAAAAAAGCTAGTCTAACAGTGACCATGTGACCACTGTCAATTTTTGTAAAAATCCATCTGATTTACTTATCTCCTTTCAGGAACAAAATCAGTTGCCCTTAGCATTTCTGGCCTGCATTTGACTCCAGCCCCACAGCAATATGTTTGACTTTTGACTGCCCTTTGAATACTTACGGGTGACACCCACAGCAAATGAATAAAGAATAAAGAGAAAGCTGTTGTTAAAGTTATCCCTTCAGGCCGTGAGCGTTGGAAGATACTGGTCGAGGTGGTGGGCCTGCCAATTGGCTACAGATGATGGTAACTCTGCCCTGGCCCTTTTTTCTCAAGAACCAGTGAGGCTTTGTCCCGATCAGTGAGAGGTAACCCTTCATGCAAAGGACAGGGAGTGTCTTCCTACAGCACAAGTCTCACCTCCAGTGGGCCCCTGCTTTGGGCACTGGGAGATTAAGAAGGAAGGAACATATCTACCAGGCAGCTGGCCATGTACACAGGCCCCTTACCCCAGCCCTCTTGCTGCAGGTAAAAATACCAGCAACAGTAGGTTCAGTTCCTTTAGGTGGCCCCTACTGAAGTAACTCCACAAGAGGCTGGTATTCCATCACCAAGTCACCCTTTATTTACATGTGCATAGTATCTGACACTGACCCAGCTAGCTCAGAGCCAGCTTTCAGCGTGAACAGAACCTCTGACACTCCTGTTTATATCTGTCAGCCAGGGCTCCCTGATTCGGGCTATTAACCTGGTCCGATCAGGGAACTCATACTCTATGAGGTCCACCTGGCTGACTTCGTTCCAATCACTACATCCCTTCCCTTCTAAGTCCTGGGAAGTAACCCTGTTCTTTGTCCTGTAGCCTTTTCTGGGCCATTTTTGTACCAGGTCTGGTTGCTCCGATTCTGCCTCGGATACTGGCAGCATGTACTTGACCATGGCGTGCTTCTTGTGTCCAAAGCATCTCGGCCGAAATTCATCCTCTTCATCAGACGGTAATGACAGTGAAGCTGTGACATCTGCTTTTTCCATCTCATCCGCAGAGGTTTCTTTGAAGCTAGGCAGAGGGGGGAGTCCTATGGGTTCTGACAGCTTTGCTGGATATTCTGAGGGGTCGGGAATGCTTTGATCCTGCCCCGTTTGTGATGAGATTACCTCTCCTACCTGAACTTTGTACGTCGCAGGACCTGACCTAGTGTCGACCATGCTTCCCACCTATGTAGGGCCTGTCCTGTGGTTTCAGTACCAAATTTCATCACCTGAGGTAAAACTGTCTCTCTCACTTAGAGGAGTCCTGTGTCTGGTATTGACGTTCCTAATGCTGTTTCACCCTTCCCCCCAGGTCCAGGAACAGTCAGGTAAACCTGATGCAGAATCTTCTCCCCATTAGCAAATTTGCTGGAGCTATCTCTGTAGTTGCCTGAGAGGTGGTCCTATAATCAAACGGGAACCGGGACAGTTTGGTATCAAGAGAAGCAATTGGCTGTTTCTTAAAGACATCAAAGTTTGGACTGCTCTTTCCATTGGACAATGGTTAGGATGGAGCTGTCCTTACTTGCCAAATGTCATTTGGCTTCAGGAAATACTCAAATTCTCTGCTGGTAAATGATGGCCTGTTGTCTGTGACCATCACCTCCATGAGTCCCAGTATTGTGATCTCTGCTCATAGCTTCTCAATTGTCATCCCTGAGTTTGTCGAACAAACTTTATGCATGCCAACCACTTTGAGTGGACATCCACAATGACCAGGAATGTGGAGAGCATGAAAGGACCAGCACAGTCAATGTGTAACTGAGTCCAGAGTTTAGCCGACCATTCCTATGAATGTGGGGGAGATGCTGGTGATAACTTTTGTCCTTGTTGGCACTCTGGGCACTGTCCCACTAATGCAGCTATGTTGGCATCTAATCCTGGCCACCAGACATAATTTCTTGCCAATATCTTCACTTTGGAAACCATTTGTATAATTGCTATAAAGCTGGGAACTTGCCTGCCAATTGATGCTGTGTCCCAAAAAAGGCAACTTGAAAATCTGTGAGAGTGATATTGAGAGAGAAATATTGACTGGCTGAATGGAGAGAATTCCCCTGCTCTTCAAACAGTGCCATAAGAATTTTTATGCCTCTTTTAGAGTCCATACAGGACATGAGTTTCATGTTTCATCTGAAAAATGGCACCTCCAACAATGCATCCCTGCTGTGGATGTCAACCTGTGTCCAAGCTTCTGGAGTGGGATTTGTAGCCACGACCTTATGCTTCAGAGTCTTGACACTTCACAAAAAGTCTTACTGCTATCTTGTAGCTTTAATATTGCAGAAATATATTTTTGATATGCTCCTTTCATATAGACTGCGAAAGGGGAGGTGATGGCCTAGTGGTATTATTGCTGGACTTTTAATCCAGAGGCCTAGATAATGTTCTGGGGACCTGGGTTTGAATCCCACCGTGGCATATGGTGGAATTTGAATTCAATAAAATATCTGGAATTAAGAATCTAATGATGACTGTGAATCCATTGTCAATTGTTGGGAAAAATCCATCTGGTTCACTCATGTCTTTTAGGGAACGAAGTTGCCATTCTTACCTGGTCTGATCTACATGTGACTCCAGATCCACAGCAATGTGGTTGACTCTTAACTGTCCTCTGGGCAATTAGGGATGGGCAATAAATGTTGCCTACCCAGCGACGCCCTTATCCCATGAATGAATAAAAAAATGTTAACTGCAGCCCAAAGGTAGGGGGCAAGTGGTTCAGTGGTTAGCACTGCTGCCTCTGGGTGCTAGGGACCTGAGTTCGATTCCACCCTCGGGCGACTGTCTGTGTGGGGTTTGCACGTTCTCCCCGTGTCTGCGCGGGTTTCCTCTGGGTACTCCAGTTTCCTCCCACTGTCCAAAGATGTGCAGGTTATTAAGTGCTAAATTGTCCATAGTGTTTGTGGATGTGTGGATTAGGTCGATAAACCATGGTAGATGTGGAGTTATGGGGATAAGATACAAGTCTGGGTTTCGGTGGGACACTCTTCAGAAGGTTTATGTAGACTCAGTGGGCTGAATGACCACCTTCTGCACTGTAGCGATTGTATGAATTTCCCCTGCAATGCATGATTTCCATAGAAAAACTGCTATTAATGTACAAGAACAGTCACACATTACTTTTTGTGGGAGCTTGCTGTGCACAACTTGGTTTCCAACATTTCCAAATGTGATTATGTTTTGAAAATATTTTGCTGATGCGAAGCACTCTGGGACATCCTGAAGTTGTTGAAGGTGCTACATGAATGCAGGATTTTCCTATCCAATGTGAATCTATCAGGTTACATTATTGCTGCAAGAATAAAGCAGCCACCCCTCCTGCCCTCTGTTACACCAATAATTATCAGTTATATTCTATCTTCTCTTTTCCAGAAATCAAGTATGCCTTACTGGGTGCTGGAATAGGAATATTTCTCGTTGTCTCATTTGTCCTAATTAAGATTTACATGATCAAAAAACACATTTATGAAAATGAGTTAACAGGTAAGATGCAGTAACAAGGCACATCATTCCTAGGTGCCTTACCTTCTAATATTAGCTTGAGTGAAGCTCCTCCAGCACAAATATGTCAGCTTTAAGTAAGAGATACTGTTGCCTACAACAATTTGGGCAAATGTATTCTTTCACCTTACATTGCTTAAATTTCATTATTTTCTCTCAATTCGCGTTCTTAAAGCTTCATTAATGAAATAAGCTTCTCTTCTGACGACTGCTTCATAGTTAGAATCTCCAAATCGGTGCATGATCAGATGTGTAATGAATTCCAGCTTCTTGCTCAAGCCACTTTTTCTACATCCTGACTCCCACTCAATTTATTTTTCCACTGGATGTCTCAGTGATGTCAGGAACACACAAACTGAAAACAAGGAGGGACGCCTTAGAAACCTGGGAGATGTCTGTCTGTCCTGCTCCATTTCAAGAAACCTTACCTGGTTAGGTTTCTTCAGACCCTCCATTCAAGAGAAAGTCAATCTCTGTTTCCCCACTCAGGCCTTGGAGGCCCCTGTGTTGCCAATGATCTGTATTTTTAATAAAGAATCCCAGTGGCTTCGGATGTCCTTGATCAGTGTTTTGGTCAGGTTGGCATGGGACATCTGAAACCAACACACAATGCTAGAGAAACTCAGCAGATCTAGCAGCATCTGCAGAGAGAGAAACAGAATTAACCTTCCCAGTCTGATTTGACTCTTGAACAAAAACAGAAGTTGCTGGAAAAGGTCAGCAGGTCTGGCAGCATCTGTGAAGAAAAAATCAGAGTTAACTTTTCGGGTCCGGTGACCCTTCCTCAGAACCCGGCTCCGAAACGTTAACTCTGATTTTTTTCTTCACAAATGCTGCCAGACCTGCTGAGCTTTTCCAGCAACTTCAGCTCTTGTTCCTGATTTATAGCATCTGCAGTTCTTTTGGTTCTGATTTGATTCTTCTTCATTGGGCAAGTCCCTTTGCTTCATTGTATCTGTCTCTTGTCCAGATCCTGCAAGACAAGAAGAGGGCTGAAGGAAAGTCAGAGGGGAGACTAGGTTAAAATTTCCCTTTAAGGGTTCAACGTACAGACTATAATCCAGCAGCAAATACAAAGTAGACAGCACCAAATTTTTGTCATCACAGGCAGTTTTGCCCATTGCTGGAATCTGAGTAAGGTTTAGGTAAGGGCTTTAGTATAGACACGGTCATCACTGGCAGAAATTATGAAACGATTAAAACTTTTATGAATCTATAGTAAGGCTGATCAGTAGGACACTAATAAACAATGCTCTCATTGTTTCGGTATCAACTTCTAACTCCGCTTATTTGTATCATTAGTTAGCAATGGCTCACTCTAATTCTGGAGGACATTGCATATTATCTCATTCTAAAAATGTCCTGCTGAATAATCAGATACTTCAGTGTTACCTCTGTGCCTCTGAGGAGTCCAGTCATCAGCAAAGTGTGTCAAGTGCTGCAGTATGGATGTTTTAAATCACCTTTCCAAAACAAAGCTATGAGTAAGAAGCTCTTTTAACCCACTAGCAAATCGCTGTATATAAATCAATCATGCATTGTATTCAAAACAAAAAATGCTGGAAATCACAGCGGATCAGGCAGCATCCGTGGAGAGAGAACAAGTTAATGTTTCAAGTCCAGATGCATTGTATTCAGCTGACTTAATTTACTGAAAATGCTAAACTTGGAAAAGCAGCTTCTGAACATTCTGCTACTTCTCAATGGTAATGCAGCAAAATGCCAAGACTTGCTAGTGCCCTACAATGCCTCAATGCAACCAGACGTGACTATTATAGTGACTGAGCTCTGATTACCTCTGATAGTATGTCTCACAAGTAGCTAGCGGTGAGTTACCTGACACTTACCAAACCTCAGGTTCCTGCTGGCATTTACAAATCATTCAAAGCTTGTTCTTGTGGTTTGTGGTTTAGCTGAGGATTCTAGGCTAGAATTGAATCTTTGTCTGACCCTGCCGTATCCACTATTCAGAGATGGATACAAATCCCTGTGCCCATGCAAACTAAAGAAGAGGTACTTAAATGTTCAACCCATTAGAATTACATATTTAGCCACGTACCAGCTTATGTAGTGTGTGCATACCTTCTTTATTGCAGGTGCCACTCTTATTTGAAGAATTCATGTCACCCCCTTAATGAGACACAAAGGCTAAGGGATACTTTTGAATGATATAATGTGAAAGATTTCAATTTGGGTGGAGATTGCTATCCCATTCAGTATCACCAACTTGAACTGATGTTCAAACTCCGATGGAGTCTGTGCATAGAAACCCCAAATTCAGTTCCAAGTAAAACTGCACAATCCAGCCTCTGAAGTGAAACATTGCAGACTGACAGTGCTCCAATTTGCAAGATGCATTCTCAGATCGCATCAAAAGGCAGGCCATCAGAATACCTCCCTCTATACATCAGCTTTCATTCTTTAGTGAGCGTTACGAAGAAACCACTTTTCCGCAATGACAGTACACTAATCATACATAAACATATAAGGTGATCTGTCTCTGCAACTTGTCTCTGTTCCATCATGTTGTGCTATGGAGCTGAGAAGTTCATAACTGAAGGTGACAGTTTCTCCTGCAATTGGTTTTAATCTTAAATGTTCCAAATAAGGAAATTCAAAGAGAAGGGAGCATCTCCCTGCAAAAGGTGTGTTAATGACATTTCTCTAATTTAGGAAGCAAAATAAAAGTCTCTCACTTAACAAAGGGATAATGCTCGGCAGCAATAGAGGAGCAGGAAAGTTGATGTTTCGGGTCGGGACCCTTCTTCAGAAATGATTTCTGAAGAAGGGTCCCGTACTGAAATGTTAACTTTCCTGCTCCTGTGATGCTGCCTGACCTGCTGTGCTCCTCCAGCTCCACACTGTGTTATCTCTGACTCCAGCAACGGCAGTTCTTACT